GCAAAATGCTCAACAAAGAACTCCTGCAAATGAAGGATTATTAAAAGTGAATCTAACTTCTTCACTCCTCCATTCCTTGTAAAAGAAGATCCTTTTTTTATGAAGAAAGATAAAATAACACCTTGAATTGCATTCCTTCAACCAAAATTATATCTAATCCTTCACGATGGATTTCGTTAACTGGGGGATCATAGTTATCCACGAGAACGTTTAGAAGCTGGAAACTTTGTTGGACAGTTCCCATCGTTGGCCTTGTCTTTCGCAGTATATCCATAATTTCCAACACGCATGGTTTTTTACATGGAAATAAAAAGCAATGGAAAAAGAAAAACGAAAGGGAACAATAATGAACACTGATCCTGGGGTCTTCCAAAGTGCTGGTATAGTACTACTACTGAGCCAAATCAAATTATTCGAATCAAATACCAAATTACTGAATGAATGCCGTAAACTGAATGATTTACAATACAAGCTAATCTCATTTAATAGAATAATGAAAAGCCAAATTGGGAACTTAGATTCCATGTAGCCAATATACAAAAGGATTTAACAGTTCTAATACCCTGCCAATGTAAAAGTGATAATTTACAGCGTGATCGCCAGCTTTATTTCAGTCAACAACTAAAAATAAACGTACTAGAGGACTGTTTGGGGTTGAGGCATGCGAAACAGTTTATAGCTCGGGCTGAACAGGCAGAGATCTCTTCATCACTTGACGTTTCGTTCTCGAATAAGTAATCGAGTGCAGCTCGATAATGTTTAGCGTGCTGTTTACGTTGTTTTCCTTTCCGATTTGTTCGTTTCCCCTTCTTGCCCATAATTTACTTCGTCTTGCAATAAATGAAACCTGAAGGAAGGAAAATAAAAACATAAGGATCATGCAATAACCATCATTCATGCGCACTTTGTTGAACACTGTCTCAAAAAATTTGAAACATCTCAATTTATTCAAAAATTTTAATCCTAATTTCCCACAAATCTTCAATAAAATGATCTTTGCTACTCCTTTTGCGTTTATACTGACCGTTTTAGCTGGATTCGCACAGTTGTAGGTCATTCAGGGTCATCATGTAAGATACCTTAAAGCCAGAAAAACAAGCATCCTTCCATCAAATAGAATCCAAAATTCATCTGACCGTTTCAGAAACTTAAATTCTCACGCCATCCATAAAAGTATAAAGTGGCGAACGATGCTGCAACTACCACTGAAGACAAAACCCGCAGCGGTATGCCACTATATTACTTTCTAAAGTTTTATCCGACTTTTTTAAAATGTTTCCATTTCCAATGTTTTTATTGACTCGTTTCTTCAATATTTGAACAAAAAGTGTGCAAAACTGTAAAATCTCCAAGTCTTAGGTATAATTCCACTAAATTTCCCTATAGATGTTGGAAACTCTAGAGAGTTGAATTCATTCCACCGCGGAACCCATCACATTGGTAGATATTCATGCGAGGAAAAAACGCTCTTCCAAAAGTGAACGCCCCATCAACTAGCTAACAGAACACGTGGGATTCTGTCGACAGCTCCTACAAATTTGCACGTAGGTAATCGATAAATTCGACATTATGGGGTGAGGATGGGGGCGCCGCACAGTACCCAAACCACTTGGAATTTTTCTTCAATGCATTTTCTGATAAGCTTTCCAGAAATCCCGCGTTATCATACACCGCATGCTACCCCATTCCTAGTGTGCTGCACCACAGCTCCCATCCAGAACTGCCCACGGAATCCTAGATTATCTTCCCCTTACCCACTCTGTTCCTTCAAGTGTTCTGGAATGAATGGGATATCAGCGAATTTATGTTGATATTTCATCAAAATGGATATGAAGGAAGTGAATGGAATATTTGTTCTCAAAAATCGGTAATTGCCGAAAAAGAGCCGAATGATCCTCAACTCTCGGACTGTCAAACTACTCTGTCACTAATTATTCCTTGTTGTAATTAATCTAATTCCTCCAACTAAACTTCGCTCAACTTCGCCATCGATATACATGGGACATGGTTTCATGCCCCTTTTCATTTCTTGAAATTGTCGAAGCTGTGGGTAAAAATCCATATTGTGTATTCGTAGAGCTTGGAGAAAGTTCGAGTGAAAGTTTGATTGCCGAACAAAATTGTCTAACATGTAATGTTCGAAGCATACATGTTTGTGACACCGGCCATTCTTCCCCATTTGTTTGAACTTGTTCCGTGAATTATTTGAGGTTGAACTTCAGAATGAGTATTCCCCCTCAAAAAACAAAATAAATAAATAAAAACAATGTTCAGAGGACTTCATGCTCAGTGCTATTTCCTGAATCAGTAGTAATTAATTGTATTTTGCGACTTGAATTTTGTTCCAGCAACCCTGAAATTGCACAATTCCAAGAGATTTCCGTTTCAAAAAACCTTTAAATCAGAATTTCAAAAATACCATTATGTACTATCAGTTTAACAAAAAATCAATTTTTCTTTTTTTTAAAGCGCTCAATTTCCAACTCTTAAGAGAGATTACAAAATGAAAACCTAAAAGATTTCGCAATTATATAATGGTATTGAGACAGTCTGTCGTTCATGGTCTTCTTCCAGTTTCAGCTCCTTGCCTCAACAAATATGCTTTTTATCTCCTTATATGGCAACCAAGTAATTGCTTTCTCTTAAACTTTTCCGATAAGCAAGAGTGCCTAAGAAGATGAATTTGATACAATTTCAGGGAACAAACTTTAGCATATTTCTTTTGGAAGCAGTTTTAAACGTTAGAAGGCTAATTTTACATGAAAAAGAAGGAAAATAGCGTGTAAACAATACAATTACAACAAGCAAACATAAATTCCGGTGTAATTCTGGATAACCACTCATCCCTTCAACAACTTCATACATTTAATTTGTACACATACATATAAGAAAGCACCACACGTAGAATCAGAGTTAGAAATCGTTGTTAGAATCTTTTCGTTATCATTGTTTATTTCTGAACCGCTGACTCACCACTTTTTAATTATTTCACCAGCAATTTTTTATCCACGGTTGAAAACAGTCAGAGGCTCTGCTAAATTAAATGACTGTATTTGCTTTGCTTCACTTCTTCATTTATAGGTTATAATAAATGAAGTGAACCAAAGCACATAAGGTGATGATGGCCAAAAGTTATTCTGCTCTATCGTGCTATCCATCAATCCCATCGATGTCCAATTCAACCAGTATGTTTTGGATATCAAATATAGCGCTTACTGTCTGAAAACTATCCACAAGGTCTTACATTTTGACAATCATAACCTCAGGAATTTCAGTAAAGATGCTAATTTATACTTCACTGGACGCCAACACCATCATTCATTAAACTCAGAGGCGCAAACACAGCACTTTATGCTCAATGCACTGGGCGAACACTGTTGCGTTGTTTACTTTCGTCCAGAACATCTCATGTTGATGTACGTTGTTTATCACAGGCACATAACATACCATTACTATAATAATCGTTTTTTACGCAATAACGATAATTATTTTGCGGTAGATTGGAACCATTTAATTTATTGAAACCTTTGGCTTAATTTTCTAGAAATGTGATTTTAATTAATGTTTAGCAATAAAGTATTTCTTGACTGGTAAACAAATGTGGAAGTTCCAGCCCTGTAACTGGATCGTGATGTGACATATTCGTATGAAAACAATCGAGCAATGACTGAATTACTACACAAGTATTTGATGCGCAGCGTGGAACAACATCGTTTATACCATTATTGAATTTCTACAAGTAAGAAAACAATATCAATAAACAGACGTCATGAAAATTTCCTCCTTCCTCTCATTTCCACGTATCGGAAAAAAATTGAACAACTATCCATTTTTGTAGTACAATAAACGTCTCGAGGCAGTGAAACTTCACGATCGCTACGGGTGATATATGGACTTTTCGAACTATAGAATACTTTGGTTGGCCTCGTAAATCCACTACTGTTTACGTTCATTTCATGATCATGAAGCAAATCTACTTCACATAAAATAAGTCGCGGTATCAAACTCCTTAATTGGCTTTATGACAGATACTATGACATTTGTGAAACATTCCGCGGCAATTCTTGCATATGATATGCTAACTCAATTCCTCTTGTGTTTGCTGTGTTTGAAGTTTATGTGAATTTTATTTGGAATCTGGGCGTGCATTTCTCATGGGTGGTGAATTAACTGATATTTCAAAACTATGATGTGTTGGGGAACTTTTTGTTTTTGTAGGCATAGTCGAATTTACATTAAAAGAGAGTTGTCAGAAAATAGCAAGTAGAAAATTGATTACCAGGCTACTGAATTGTTATTAATCGAATGCACTGTTGCTCGAGTGAGTTGAGTAAATCTGAACTGAGTGAGAAAATTGAATTCAATGATATATAGTCCATTTATATAGTGGGGATTTGTTTACAACATCCCTGCAGAAGATTAGACCAGAAGTTCTTTGCAATATGCCGACATTGATAATTGCATATAGAGACCAGATATTCTTTAAAACAACATAATGGGAATTAAATAGGTGATTCATTACTTAAAACATTCAAAACATTTGTAGCATTTTTTTTTCTGTATGTAATGAATCATTTATCTAACAAATATTCAAATTTAAACTTTTATACTGCAAATTTATATTATATTCATTTAATTCAGTTACTCCGAGATGTTTGCATAACACAAAAGTACTTTGATTATATCAACATATTTCTACGTTCGCTTTTTCTATTTCTATAAAAAATATTTCGGTTTTTCCGACATGATATATAAACGTTCTTAAACATACTTGATAGTTATTATCGGTGATTTAACGTAATCAGATTAATGAGATCTTTTCGTGAAATTTGGAACGTAAGAAATTCATGAAAATCGCAATCCTTACTGCTGTATAAAGAAATGATATGCGATGCAGTATACTAAGGTTGCTTGTAACGACTTTGGTACTCAAGGAGATTCTCGGATACCATTTCATTTCCTTTGTGTTTAATGCCATCAGTTAAACTTTTGACCCTATAAATATGCGTCGCTGAATAGACTATATAAATGGACGACTATATATCATTGAATTCAATTTTCTCACTCAGTTCAGATTTACTCAACTCACTCGAGCAACAGTGCATTCGATTAATAACAATTCAGTAGCCTGGTAATCAATTTTCTACTTGATATTTTCTGACAACTCTCTTTTAATGTAAATTCGACTATGCCTACAAAAACAAAAACTTCCCCAACACATCATAGTTTTGAAATATCAGTTAATTCACCACCCATGAGAAATGCACGCCCAGATCCTAAATAAAATTCACATAAACTTCAAATACAGCAAACACAAGAGGAATTGAGTCAGCAGATCATATGCAAGAACTGCCACGGAATGTTTCACAAATGTCATAGTATCTGTCATAAAGCCAATTAAGGAGTTTGATACCGTCGACTTATTTTATGTGAAATAGATTTGCTTCATGATCATGAAATGAACGTAAACATTAGTGGATTTACGAGGCCAACCAAAGTTCAGTAATGGTATAAACCGACAAACAAGAACCCACATCATCGCAAACATGGAGTTCAACAAAACAATTTGCCCAGTTGGGAGTGTCGAGAAACCTAGAACGACTTTCCCCAATTTAATTGTGATTCATATTGAATGGTAATATTTAACTTTTCCCTCCTTCCTGCTTATCCATATTAGCTGTCTTTATACGATAATTATGTATGGTGTGTATATATCCTTTTCAAACACTGTAAAAGCCTCCCATTTGTTCGTTCTGTATAAAAGCTCATATCTTCATCCCGCATGATTATCATTCTTTCTCCTCCATTCAACTTCTCG